AATAGGAATGAACAAGCAGTAATCCTAGTATTTCCCAGCTTTCTATGTTTTTCTGCTCTACATGCATTAAAATCCTGCTTTATGAAACTCTAATTTTGTTTAAAAATAATTGGAAGGAGTTGGATCAGTTAACTACCTTGCAATAAAGTATTCACTAACATGACTGCCAGAAACAACCTGTGAGCTTGTGGTCTATATTTTCGCTTGTAAAACTGTGTAGAGAATGGCTATTTTGAAATCAGGTATAAAGGCTTTGAATTTGGATTAATTTATATTGGAGTACATAGTAGCCTTGATAATTCATAATCCCTGTGTCCCTTGTAGAATAATTAGATTTCTGATGTTATTTTTCATATTTTAACAAATTTTGCATAGAAGACTTGCTCTGAAGTGCAACCGTAAAGAGATTCTGCGTTCATTAAGGCCAAAATTCTCTTTTCAAAATTGGTATCTGCTAAAAATGAAGATACTTCAAATTTACTAGAAGCTGAACCCAGCGTGAGAGAACTAGGTAGGGATAAGACTAGTTGGCTACAGTGTCGCCAGTGGTGGACAGTTACAGTTTTTCTTGGCTGCTTTAAAAAAAGAAAAACAAATTGTCAGTCACATTTCCAGTTCTCCATTTTGTAATATGGCATAAAACCTGTGAAACTCTTCAATCCCAATGGTGTTAGGGACGCCAAGAAAATGTAATACCAACTCAAAAGAAAGCTCTTTGGAATTCGAACTCATTTCTTGCCCTTTACTTTTTCAGAGTTTTCTTCAACTTCCTGGCCAGCAAATAAGAAGTAATTTTGTATTTTTGGAATTGTATTTCTATTTTTTTTATGTTATTGGTCTAAGCCTGGGGAGAGTGATGCTCATTATAGCCCCAAGGAACTTGTCTGAATATACAGGAGTGGATATGTTGCAAACCGTTTTCAAGAGGGATTAGTAATTTTGAAGTTATTACTAGATGCTAAACCCTAAAATTTACCTTCAGGTAAGCACTAATAATGGAGAAATGCAGTTTTAAAACTTAAATCACCATTACTTTACTGTTTTCAAATACCTGACATCTTATAAGTCCATCAAGCAATGGATTAAGCATGGAGAGAAATCTTTCCACTTGAAAACTTAAGGCTGAAAACATGAGAAATGCTTTATTCTTGGAAATTATTGCAGTCAAATCCTGATAGTGTTGAGGGGGTGATATTCTTAAGATTATAAAAATACTTCTGGATTTCAACTCTACCTTTGCAACTGTGAATGTGAAATTTTGTAAAATTCTTAAATGTTATATTAATTTAAAGAATAGGTCTTCTTTCTTTTGTTTCTTTTTATAACATAATTTCATTACTAACTTAACTAGCCTGTACTTTGCCTGTAAGTGTATTGGAATAGAGCAAGAATCTGGTCAGAAAAAAAATTAGACAAAAAAGGATGTAAATGAAAAGCGAGTTTTGGTCAGTTAAAATATATATTCAATACTGTGTCCAACATTGAATTTATAAAATATATAATCAATACCCATTCCAGTACCTCTTGAATCTTTCCTGCATCAATCATGTTCCTTTCTTCTAGAAAAAAAGTTTGAAAATCTTTATTTAAAAACTTTGTGATACTAAAGAAGGAGAAAGAGGAAAAAATAGACAATAATAGGCCTTATGGAATATAGATGGACTTTTTACGTGATAGTTTCCAGTTGGCTTAAAAATCTTTGCATCTAAGCTACACTTGGTAATTCTAGTTGCAATCTATTTTTCTACACTGTGGAAAAAGTGAGACAGGAAGAGATTGTATTTGTTTAGTAAGATGGTAAAATAGATCTTATCTAAGCAGATTGAACATGTACATTAAAGATACAGTTGGGGAGATTATGGAGAAACCATGACTGAGCCTGGGGAGACTAGGATTTCAGCTTGCAATTAGAGATAATACAATTAGAGACAATGTTCAGGTGAAAATAAAATAATTAAAAATGTAATGTCTTGTTTTTAGAACTTAGCCATGGTTAAATTCTGCAAGAGTTTGAATGAAGAACCCCATTTGGTTTCTCTGCAAGTGTACAGTAGAACTTATATGTACATATATATATATACAGTCCTGTAAAGATTTAATTGTGGTATATTTCAGTGCCTGCAACACTCTAGGACTGCACCTCTGCTTTAGAAACTTGGGCCTTTCACTGCTATGTTTGCCTTCTATTAATCTGCTCTTTGCAGTTTTTTGGTTTGGTTTGTTGGGTTTTTTTTGTTTTGTTTTTTATGAAGCAGCTTCCAAAATAGCTTATGGGCTTGGGGCTACTGGGATATTTGTTTTACATCTATAGACTATTAAAAGATGAACATTTCCTTTGCTCGTGGTTATAAAATGGAAAAAAATCCAATTTTGTGCTGAAGGATCCTTAAGGTAAAAGGCCAAGTCAGTTACTTTTCCCGATGCAGTTTATGCTTTTGAGCTGTACACTACAGTGTAAATTGAAATACTGCAGAAAGTAAGAGACCATCTAGGAATTCATTAATGGCTCCGTCTAGAAGGTGTCCTCTGTTGTGTATGTGGGGTTCAGATAGTTGTCACGTAAGTGCAACTGTATTTGCCTGCTTCTTCAGCAAAACTGATAGAAACTGAGCACTATGCGTAATAGGATGCAGATAGCTTTCTTTTATTCCAAATTTCAGGAATTCTGAATTTATCTATTGCACTATCCCATCCAGTAACATTATTGTAGGAAGCATACTGATGATTGTCATCAATGTGTTAAGTTCATGTTAGCATATTCTTCGCAAATGCATATTTGACAGGAAAGCTGATTAGATGCTTGAGTGCCCCTGACAGACTGAGGAGAACTTGTCTACTGTTTTTGCTCATCTCCCCAGGAAGATGAAGCTGTGCAGTGACTTCAGTTACTGATTACAGTGGTCAGATGCAACTGATGCAGGTGGTACGTAGTGGTGTATATGTCATGAAGCTTTGCCACCCATAACTCTGTTGAAAAGTAGCTGTAATATGGAAGTCCTTGTGCAGAACATGAGCTGTGAAGAATGACCTGTGATTTTAAGCTAAAAGAGGGTAGATTTAGACTAGATATAAGGAATAATTTTTTTAGAGTGAGGGTGTTGAAACGCTGGCACAGGTTTCCCAGGGAGATGGTAGAAGCCCCATCCCAGGGAATGTTCAAGGTCGGGTTGGACAGGACTCTGAGCAATCTGGTCTAGTTAATGATGTCCCTGCTCACTGCAGAGGAGTTGGACGAGATGACCTTTAAAGGTCCCTTCCAACCCAATGCATTCTATAATTCTATGAAAATAATATCAGGGCTTTAGTCTGAGCGAACTGAATGCTTAATTACATCAGGTGACATGTCTGTGATATTGTAACTCTCTTCCAAAGAAAGTATGCCATGTTGATTTTGACTATTCAGGATTAATTTTTCACTTCTCCTTTGCATGGTTAGTTGGACTTTTTTGTTTTGTCTTGTTACTTGGCTCTGACCTATGTAGGGTTTGGACTCATGACCGTCCTGTGGGTTCTCCATTTTATTTGGAAACATTACATTTAAAAATCTAAAACAAAAGCTATCAACACATTTTGTTTTAAATTTTTCATATTTATAGTTACCCCAGATTCTGTTTTCTTTATCTTCCCAGTCACATGAGAGCTTGGAGGGAACCCACACACATCTCTAATGCCAGTGTTGCAGATTAAAAATAGTTTTCTTCCACCAAATGCTAACAGCTGGTTGGCTTTGTTTCCCGGCTGAAGATGCATTGTACAGTATTTTGGTTTTCCTAGCGTTGCCAAATGTTAATGGATCAAGCTCTATGAGTTCTTACTTTGTAAATTCTGTTGTAATACTAATTACACTTTAACTGCATTTCTGTGAGGCTTTTCACAACTGCAGTCAAGCAGCTATTACCCCATTTTGCAGATAAATAAAAGGAGAAAGTGGTTGAGGGAGGTGCTTGGTGTTGATTTAAGTGACAATGAAGATAATCAGCGCTGCTGTAAGCCAAATATTGTTTAGGCAGCATGAAGAGTAGTGGCATTTGTGAGAACAGGTCTTGTAAGTTGTACTCCTCCAGGATAACCTCCCAGCCTTTGTTCCTTTCCTTTGGTTGAAGTAATTCGGTTCAAGTATGGTTGAGAATCTCTTGTTGAATCTCTTATTGAAATGATAGCAATTGTATAGTGAAATCACTGTCATCTTCACTTTTCACCAGGGTTGGAAAATGTCTAAACATTGTATTTCAAGGCAGAAGGCATTTAAAGCAATCTTTTTCAAAATACCAATTTTTGTAATGATGTGTGTGGACAGTATTATATACAATGACAAGTTATTTCTGAAATGAGTAGAATATCATATAATAGTTCTTCTGGTTTTCCCCATCTTGAAGTACTCAGCAAAACTGTCTTACCATCCTAGAAGTGAATCTGCCATTTCTTTTGTAATGTCTGGCAGTTAAAGTGGTGTTGCCTTCATATACATGACCCATAATGTTTACATTTTGGTATAAAAGCTGATGCAACTAGTCCAAATCCTGGAGAGACCTGAGAGTTAATAAAATAACAGATGGCAGTTATGTTCATGTGGAAATAATTATATGCTGCAATTTAATTGCATAAAATCAAGATATTGTTTCTGATTAATACAGTAGACTTGCTGGTCATATAGGACTTAGTATTTTGTGTGGTATAAACCTGAAAGTTAGTTTGTTATCACTTATTATGTGATATAATGGAATAATGCCTTAAGAATATGCTCTAAAGAGAATCCTTTCTACACTGATTGTACTAGATAGATTAATCCTCTTGCCATAGGGGCTTGAAATTGCCTTGGGTATGCAAAGGAAAAACCTAGATAAATGATAACTCATTTAATACTCTGTGGTTTGTGTTTATGGCAAACAGAATTCCTCAGGATCTTCTAAAAGAAAACAAGAGTGTGCCAAAGGTAATTTCGGTGTTGAGTGTTCACGGATGGTAAAATTATAGTTAACAGATGTTTGTAATTTTTGCAGGTAATAGCTCTAGCAGATGCAGCAGAAGAAAATCAAGCCAACATGTTCCAGGCATTCACAAAGTTGAAAAGTGCCACCCATCTGGTGATTATGCTGGTTAGTCTTTGGCAGAAGCTCAGTGCTGATCAAGTTGCTATTCTGGAAGCTACGTTTTTGCCATTAGTGGAAGATACACCAGAGCTGGTAAGGGTCTCTAAGAGATGCTCAAAAAAAATGCTCATTGATAGAACATTAAGCACTTAAATTTACATATTTCCTCATGTACTGCGTTGAAGACTGTCCTTTGAAGTGATTAAGTAGCCTCATTAAGTATATATTTGATGCAAACTACATTGATGTCTGTCGTGGTTTGACCCTGGCCGGCAGC